CCTTTACCTCAAGGTCTGGATCCGCCACTGCAAGCTAGGAAGTCCATGCACTGCTATTAGAGTGATATGAGTCAGATATTATAAATGGTCTTGATGTAACAGGGCGCTTAATACTGCTTATTCAACTGAGGGCGTTATAAGTGGAATTATTATTCAAGAGATAATGTGTCTATTTTAATACCCACCCACCCATTTAGAATGAGTATCATCCTCCGATGTGAGGTTCCTCCCTGACCCGAAATACTTCGGGCCCCCACGCAGATCAGAGAGGTGACGAGCTCCATCACGCATGAACCCGTCTTACCCTACCCTGGCCGCGCTTTAAAATGTCGCCTTGCTAAAAGTACAAGCTTAATTACAGGAGGTACATTTTGTAAACTTTGTGAAAGGATGAAGAAACGTTTACTGAAACAATGACAAAAAATACCTTATTCCAAATAAATCTTACCCTTTAAATCGGATTTTTTTAAAGAAGTTCCATTGTGATCATGATTGGGAATCGAGGAAATGCGCGCGGTATTGACTGATAGATTCTGACCAGTCTGGATTCTGAAGATAGAACATTTTGATACAATTATTACATTGTAAACGTAACGCAATTAGAAATGTTTGAAAAGGAGTGTAAAAGTTACTGTCTGAAGTGCAAGGGAATAAAAATCCATTTAAAAATATCACAAACGTGCCTCAAAACACATTAATGCATACCTGCCGGTCTATTGCGTGTTCAAGTGTCCATAGTCTTCATCTAGAGAACTTATCTTTAGCGGGCGGACTCAAACGGGATCCGATTTACTGAGACTTCTAATAATCCCTCTTTATAATGTAAGACAATTCTTGACTTTTCAAACTACAATTGTAGGCTTCATTCTGCATGTCAAAAATCTCAGGGGAAAAACATGCCCCTATCTCTCTGTTAAAAGTATCATATCATGTTATGTTATGACAAAGCAACCGTCACGCTGTAGTGCTAATTCAGGTCATTCAGGCGTTATATGATTCCCTTCGACGAAGCTTTCCCAATCTAGTTTTAAGACCAATCTTGTTCCACCTTGGTTTATTATTAATTAATTGCAAAAAAATTCTCGAGATATCGTGACATGGCTCTAAAAGCTGATAAGAAATGAAAAGCTCATTTAAAATAGCAAAGCAAAAAAATCATAGACGGCAGTCAGACCCGATGTCCTCTCTCAGGTCCTGTTTTGGAGTGGAATTAATGCATGTCACGTAGTGAAGTAGGGTCGACCATATCTATTATTTTAATCTCTCCTGATTTGCCTTTGATTCCAACGGGAAGCAAGATTGTTTATCAAAACAGATCATGTATAAAGTGGCATTTGTTCGCTTCATTAGCTGATAATGTGCACCTCGGATCTTTTTCAGACGAACACAGCTAAATTCTACAACCGCCAGACATGAAATTATTGCGTCAATTCGCAAACACCTTAGCGATTCAATGAGTGATGTTTTGGCTTTTATTTCAACTTCCGGTGTTTTCGTTACACCGGAAATCCATCTGATTCGCACCCACTTTCCCTACCCACGATGCATTACGCTCTTTTGTCAGCCATCTTGCTTTTCTTCATATTCTCAAAACAACTACAATTAGCTTGTATCACCTCGTTTCCCAGCGGGTTCTTTTGATAATAATTTACACTGGAATCTTCCTCAGTTGTGATACATCAACAACAAGGAGAAACAGGGTAACGAAAGGGCATAATTTCAAGTGAAGGACCTGCCTGCGTTGTCTTGTATGTGTTACACACTAGTCAGTATCAACGAAGGAAAACGGAAATAAGCAACAAAGTTCCTACAGAGTCCCGACAAGTAAATGTCTACCAGCGAGACTTGGCCAGAAGTCACGCTCTGTTGTGGCTGTTGATGCGCTCTTGTTGTTTACAAAATGGCAGGGAATCGCGTTGACTATTAAAGAACTAAAAATGTCCCGGAATTCTAGCAAGAGAAATAGCTCTAATCGTGGGTCTACGGGCTCCGACATTGCTCGATCCACTTTAAAAGTTTTCCTCTCAAATGGCGACTCTAGATCTGTCAAATGCGGCGAAGCAACGGATGTTAAGGTGGGTTCATTTTTTTTACTATTTACCTCGTCTTGTCGTGGCAATATTTTCCTCCAATTTATGAAGAGATTTTACCATTTAATCGCTCGAAAACTCTCCAGGAATTTTTGGTGGGGTTTGGAAATTCAATTGGAACCCGGTGAGAGATTGGCGAACCGTACATTATGATCTCAGCAGCTATTTTTTTCCAATTAATTTTTATTCCACGTTAACTTTTCTTGGAATATTTTCCAGGTTTTTCTCATGCTTCTTGGCGATATAGATATATTTCTTTGCCAAGAATGTGGTACAGTTGTTCTGTTGGTGTGTGATATTTCCGATCGATATCTGCTTGAAAGTGGTGATGTGGAGTTTGGACATAAGGAATAGTTATTAACTTATTTGGCCCCATCTCAAGTTAAAACCACCATTTGGAGTTTCAGTCACTTACCTGTACCTTTCTTTTTGATTTTCTGT